GAATTAGTGCATCACTACCAGATTCAGCATTGAACTCATGACCACTACATGGCAATAATACATGTACGAACAACTCCTATATGCACTATGCCATGGTCTTTTTGAAGGGCATTAGTGGTCTTTTTGAAGGGTATTAGTGGTCTTTTTTAAAGGGCATTAGTGGTCTTTTTGAAGGGCATTAGTGTTTTTTTTTTAAGGGCATTAGTGGGGTTTTTTGAGGGGCATTAGTGGTCTTTTTGGAGCCTGTTTTATATTCAATGTCAGAGTTTTTGACATTTGGTTATGATGGCAAGTTCTTACCATTTTTCATAATTTACCATATTTGATGTCATATAAGACACACTTTTTTTTTACTAAAAATATCTTTTAAAACTCCCTTGGTTCTTATATGCCATATGTAGGTTTAAAATTTGTGATATTCAACTGAAATTAGTTACCTGGCAACTCCTATTATCTTAGACTTTAGAGTAACATTCATATTCCCATTGTTATTATTTAAAAGACTATTATGCAGATTTAAGTGTTATCATTGTTAATAGTCATTATATTAATTTCATCACGTTTAATATTAGTACTTTGTTTCACTTAAATTATATACAATAAATTCAAATTATATATTTGTAAAATATATTTGTTTCATTAATATTTTCATGTAATAACTTCCAGTTGCATTGGATCAGAATTTTTGTATCTTAATTATTCTACCAAGTTGTTTACAAGATGCAGGTTTACAGACCATATAAAGGAAAATGTTTGACTGAATTTTAATGGTAACTTTACTGTTTTGCTCAATTGTAATAATTGCTTGATTTTTTTTTATTACCTTTGTATATCATACTTATTGTAAAACCCAGGTTGTGTGTGTGTGTGTGTGTCTGTACGTTTATATATTGGATTGGATTTCCTACATTTTTCAACTGATTTCAACAAAACTTCACAGGACTACGTAAAATTACATTGTGGTGGTTCTGACAGTGCCCAAAATTGGAAAAACACAATTGTTTTTGCACAAAATCAATTTGAAAACACAATTAAGAGGTCGCTGTCAGGAGAATGAAAAGAGGACAACTCATATCAAGTTATACTTATTATAAAACCCAGGTTGTTTGTGTTTGTGTGTGTGTGTGTTCCTTTATATATGGGATCGAATTTCCTACATTTTCAACCGATTTCAACAAAACTTCACTTTTTTTTTTTGGCAGGTAGTGTTTCTTATTGTCTTGCACACTTTTTTTTCTTTATTTTTACATTCAGAATGCTTTAAAAATTCCATTTACAAGACAATTGTTTATAATAAAATTCTATTCAATCGGTAGACTCATAACGATTGAAAACAATGCTTTTGTTTGAATTTAGGTTTGACCAATTCGTAAAAAAAAAAAAAAAAAATAAACTAATTAAGACATGCGTGTCCGTCAACCTTAAACAATAATCTTTGTCAATTTTATTTTTCAGTCTTTATGATGGTCGATACTTGATCTATCTCTTACTGTTACATCCCCGGGCAACGCCGGTTTCTACTGCTAGTAATTTATACATATTTATGTATATTTTATAGGTCATGTTCTTTTTTTCCTATTATTTTTCATTTAGTTGTAAAAGTACATTAAAACCTATGTGTGTTAAAATGATTTATTTTGAAATTTCTCATACGAACATCATTAGTACTCCCTACACTTCACCATTACCAGGTAGCCAAATTTAATTACCGTATTTGATGGCATATAAGGCGCAATTTTTTTCTTTTTTTACCTAAAAATATCTTTTAAAATTCCCCTGGTTCTTATATGCCATATGAAGTCTTAAATTTCATGATAGTTGGCCAAAATTAGCTACCTGACATCTCCTGTTACCTTAGAGCAAGTTTCAATATACCTATTGTCATTATTTAAAAGACTATTATGCAGATTAAAAGTGTTATCATTGATAATATTTATATTAATTTCATCACATTTAATATTAGTACTTGGTTTCACTAAAATTATATGCAATAAATTCAAATTATATATTTGTAAAATATATTTGTTTCATTAATAATTTTCTTGCGATAACTTCAGGTTGCATTGGTATAAATACGATCAGAATTTTTATATCCTAATTATTCCACTAAGACATTTACAAGACACAGGTTGTACAGATCATATAACAGAAAATGTTTGACTAAATTTTAATAGTAACTACTTTTTTGCTCAATTGTAATAATTGCTTGATTTTTATTTTGTTTTCTTACCTTTGGATATAATAAAGGTTTTATAGGCTTGTGTTCTTTCTTTTCCTATTATTTTTCATTTAATTGTAATCATGGCTTGTTTAACCAAAATAATACCTCATAAATATAGCCTAGGCTGTACCATTTACTTATAATTTTACTAATTACTAATTTTTTCTTGATTTGCCCTGCTGAAATTAGGGTGCATCTTATACACCTGTGCATCTTATATGCTGCCAAATACGGTAATATTCCATTTCTGAGATGAGTACTTGTCAACATTCTTGTATAATTTCAAACTATTGTTCTCATTTTTGTTGATTTTGAGATTATTACAGAGACTCACCAATTCAGCAGGAACGAACAATTTAAGAATATCAGCTAATCAATGGATACCTGATGATAATCAGAGGGTACCAGGTTGAAAAGTTGTCTCTTTAACAATGATTTCACAGGAATTTTGCTCAGTAGATTTCCTCTGAGATTTCAAGTGTACAAACTTGGTGGTTGTGATGACTTCTTTACCTCTGCCAAAAAAAAACTAAAAACAATTTCACAGCAATATCTGTCTATATTTATGAGATGAAGTATTATGTACACTATTTACATTATTTGGACTATTGTCCTCAAGGACACATGGTATAGTAGATAAAGGTGTTAGTTAGATCCAGTGACAAGACCCAAAGTGTGTGAGTTCAATACCTGATTAAGGCAGTGGAGAACATGGGGAGGGAAATTAACAGGAAATAACTGATAACTGACATCCATTAGAAATGGAATGTGGAACTAGAACAGTCTACCCCAGTGAGCAAAATAAAGGGTTCATTTCGACATTCCAAACACCTGAAGAAGGAAGGCTGAAACATTGTAATAAAATGGCATACAATGGCTGAAAAATTGTAATAAATATAGACAGCAACAAAGATGTGGAGAATAGTCCGAATAATGTAAATAGTGTACATAATACCTCATCTCAGAAATATAGACAGATACTGAAGATACTGAAGGAGCCAAAACGTAAATTGTGATAAAATCTGGCAACTGAAGAAAGTACATCAGCTAAAAATGATGGCAACAATAGTCCGAATAATGCAAATAATGTGGATAAAATGAGGCCAAAATTTGTCAAAGATCAATAGTCCGAATAATGCAAATAATGTGGATAAAATGAATAAATTTGTCTCAGATAGCAAATTTCTTATTCTTGTTTTTATGATTTCCAGCTTTGAAAATGTCCACTCACATTGGACTTGATTGGATAGAGTACAGATAACTTTTTAGAAAGTTGTTACTCCTTTTTTATTATTAAAACTGTTGTTTGTTTTTGCTTCTTTATTGTATTTTTATTTGGTGGTTGTGATGACTTCTTTATCTCTGCCAAAAAAAAAAAAACATTTTCACAGCACAAAGCAATAAATCATTAAATGTTGAATTTTGTATGGGACACCCAGTAAGGATCAAACTCACTAGTCAGTAATAATGACCAACTAAACTAGCCTCACTAATCATTACTCCACACCAAGACTCCTTGTTAACAAGTAAAAAATGTAAATAATATATTTCTATATTATTAGATACTAGCTTAAGAGCCACACTCTATGCATATTTTCAAACTAGCACCAGTGAAGGGTTAATTGGGCCTCCAGCCTAAAACTAAAGCAATCTCTGATCCAGCTTGAAAAACAGCAATGATAATTTTGAAGAACTAACTTTGACAGTATTTACATTAGTCGGACTATTGTCCTCATCTTTGTCGCCATATTTGTCACAAAGTTTCGGCCGTTGTCCTCAAGGACACATGGCACAGTGGATAAAGGCGTTGGTTAGATTCAGTGACAGACCCAAAGAAGGTGAGTTCAATACCTGGTTAAGGAAGTGGAGAACTTTCAGAGAGAAAATTAGCAGGAGATAACTGACATCCATCAAACATGGAACATGGAACTAGAACAGTCTACCCCAGTGATCGAAATAAAGGGTTCAGTTCAAAATTCCAACCACCTGAAGAAGGCCGGAGCGTACAACGGCCGAAACTTTGTGACAAATATGGCGACAAAGATGAGGACAATAGTCCGACTAATGTAAATACTGTACATAATACCTCATCTCAGAAATATAGACAAACTAACTTTGAATTCTTCAATTTGCTCCACGGCTATAAATCCTTTGATTCAGGCTATAAATCCAATTCTGGCCAAAATACTTATTTGTACCTGAATTCCAATTCAGGCTGAAAATTGAGTTCTTCAAATCACAAGCTCTATGGAACTTCAAAACCTCACATCACGAAAACCTCTCACGTTGACTCTGATTCTTTTTGAAGAAATAAAATTGATTTCCTCAATTCACAAAGATTTGGAAATATTTTAAACTGAATGTAAAGCAAAAAATTTTAAATTCACAAAGTTTTTGTTTCACATTAAACTCATTATAAATTAAAAAATTTTCAAATCACTAATTATTTTCAGTTATTTTAAAATTTGAATTTTTAACTATTCCCACCTCATCTGGACATAAATCCCAATGTTTGATGTTCAAGCACCAGATGAAGGGCAGATTTTCAATTCCAGGATCATCCTGATTCCAAAAAGATATGTCTGTGTAGAACAAGTGTGGCCAAGTTAGAGGGGTTTCAGACACACGGAGGGACAGACAGAATTTGCTGTTTATTTATATAGATTTTAGTCATTGATATATTCTCTTATAATTTAGGAAGTACCACCATGGAATTTTCTAGCCTTGATGGTTTATAATTCTTGCCTTAAATCATTCCATAACTTTACCCTTCTTCAGAATGAAGAAAGACATGTTTGTCCGGGTGGACCAGCTTGTGTCCGAGTTCCGAAAAGTCTCAGACAAACAAATGGCTGAAACAACTAAAAGGACAATTCGAGAGAACGTCTCCATCACTGCCCAAATGTCCAAGATGTCCGACAAAACGGTGGAACTCATCGAGGAGAATGATGGCCTGAAAGCCAAGGAAAAGAAATTGCTAAACAAGCTGAAGATTCTGGAGCACAATGAGAAAGAATTGACCAAAAAGAACCTCAGTGGACAGAAGGTAAGGTCAATGATCTGTGTGATACTATAGACGATACTATACTATAGAAGGGGAAAAGGTGTTTTTTTGTCTCAAGTGTTTCTGTTTGATGGGCCAGCAGATAGTTCCTTTTGTAGTCAGGTCTTCTAGGTGGTATCTACTTTAACTGAAGAGAAATGTGAAGTAAGAGGATTTTTGGAGATCAAGTAGCAACAAAACCGGAAATAGGGTATATCCGGGTGCTGGGATGCTTGGGACTGGGTAAAGTTCTGGTCCACCTTGGCAGGGGATGGACATATCCATGTTGCAGTTCCAAGGCCTCTATTTCATATTGCCAAGCCACCACATCTAGGTGAGGAGTTGGTTTTGGGAGCTGACATAGCAGAAGTTGTCCCTGGACAAGCAGGAGAAGCCCTGAATAAAACAGTTACAGGTAATATACAGAAAACAGGGTTTGCTTTTTTATTTCTCAACATGGCTTTTTTTTTTCATTATGTTACCTTGTAGTGTGCTCTTTTCCAGCTTTTGATGAACTTCGACAAGTTTGAGAATTGAGATGAAACATGGGGTAGTCACTAGCCAGTTAGTGGAATGCAATTGATGAGAGTTGTATGTTTACAACTTCCTATTTTTCATATAAGTATTTGAAATGATCATTGGCATTTTTCTGTCTTGTAGGACAATAGACTATGTGCCAGGAATTGGTTTGGTCTGTATTAGAGCTGCAGTGCCTCTTGTGACTGTACAGAACTGACTTTGGAGTGGCAGACTTTACTGCAATTGGAAAGCTACATCTGGCTCAGTGGGTACAAGACGGGGGTACTCTGCTCTCTGCACTTTCTCCACTTTTCCCACAGGTCCTATCTCCTCTTTTCACTCGTCTGAATGCCATCTTTGGCAGCAAGCCCTAGCTGCAATGTCAGTTTTCTAGTCTGCTGCTTGTCATCATGTCTCATTTACAAATATTTAAAACAGACCAATAAACAATTGTACAAGTGTTTTGATGCATTAAAAAATTTTACTGCAGAAATTAATTTCACATGATTCTATAGAATGCATTTCAAATCATTTTTACTGTAGAAATACATTATAAATTACTCTACTATCCTATTATAATTGTCCTTGTCCCTCCTTTCATTAGTTTGCACAACCATTACTTCTTGCCAATACATTATAAATAATGGAAGGAAAAATAAGTTAAAAATAATTGAAGAATTTAACATGAGCACCTTTTTTATATAATTTTTAAGTACTCAGTAATCTTAAAAATTTAGGAAAATATTCTCTGTAATCTAATGTTTTATTGAATATAGATACTTCAGCTTTAAATTTACTAAGATCAAAATAGACCTGATGAAAAAATTAGATACCTCCACAGACTTGTGATACCCAAGTTTTAAGATGAATTTTTAAAATGAAAAATCTTTCTTGATGCTTTTTATTTTAGTTTTAATTTCAATAGATTAATATTTCCAATAAGCAAAATACTGATTTCAGCACCATTTTTAGCCTGCATTTATTGCAATGTAATTCTCTTTATTAAAAAATCTTCTAAAAATAAAATATACTTTTCTGAAATGTTATTTGAGGAATATTAGCTGATTCAAAGTATAATTAATCTGATTTGAAACAAATATTATTTACTTTAAGTTTATCATAGCTGTTTGTTTAATCTGTTGGCATGGTGACAACTTGATGACAGATGGATGTTTATCAAATGTTCTATGAGGTGGGGCTATATTGGTTATAATATAATTAAAGAATATAACGTGAGCGCCTTTTATATATAATTTTTAAGTACTCAGTAATCCTAAATATTTAAAAAAATATTCTCTGTAATCTAATGTTTTATTGAATTTAGATACTTCAGCTTTAAATTTACTATAGTTATTGCTATTATTTTCTGATAATGTTGTGTATGATCTTCCTTATCTACAAATCATCGACACAGTTATACACATACAAAAAATTAATTCAAAATTCTTTTTAAAATACCCAGGGTCCATAAATTATAATAAGCTTTACAATTTATGATATATATAGCTTTACTTAATAATAATATTCCCTAACCGTTATACTATTGAAACTAAATTTTAAAATATTTAAAACTTTATAAATTATTCTAATTAAAATTTTTAAAAAATGGAAAACAAATCTTGTAAAAATTCATTATTCATTGAAAAAAAACTTCTTAAGTAAATATTGCCCTTAATATATCTTATTCATAAAAGTAATTAAAAGCTTTTCTAATTAACTAATGTCTTAGTTTTATTGTCTTTTTTATTTTATGAGTTCAGAGCAGATTTTACAAAAATAAATTGATGATTTAAATTCTCCAAGGACTTCTGCTTTTAATTAATATAATCATTAAAAATTATCTCATTGAATATCTTGAGTTTTCATAAAGTGAAGTAAGTGGGGTAGAACCCATGTAAAAAAAAATATTTTCACCAAGATCTTCTAAAAAGAAAAAAATATTTCTAAAATAATTTCATTCATTTATGAATAAATCCTGAAAGTTTCATTAAAATCCAACAATTATTTGATTATTGCAATAATTTTCAAATTAAAGTCTTTCACCACAAAAATTATGCTAAAATTTGCCATGATAATTTACAGTCTAACACAAGAAAAACAAGATTTACAAAAATCTCCACACTTATACACATATACACACACGCACAAAAGAAAAAAATTGAAATTTTTCTTAAAAATACTGGGGTTCACTGAATTGTGGTAAGCTTTTCCAGTTGTGATTAGTAAATACAGAAATTTGAAAGATTTAAAACTTTATAAATTAAAACTTAAAAAAATAAAAACAATTCTTGTAAAAAATCATTATTCATCTAAAAAATTATTTTTAAGACAATAGTGCCCATAATGTTATTGATAAAAGTAATTAAAACCTTTTACTAATTAAAGAATGTCTTAGTTTTATTGTATTTTTTTGATTCAGAGCAGATTTTTGGTAACTGGGGATCCTGTTTTACAAAAAAGAAAAAATCAACGATTTAAATTCTCCAAGGATTTCTGCATATAACTGTATTTTTGTACCACATTAAGCAGTACAAAAATCATTTTCTTGGAATTTCATGAAATTAAATAAGTGGAGGGGGTAACATGCAAAAATAATATTATCTACCAAGATTATCTGAAAAAGAAAGATTCAAAAATTAATCTAATTCATTTGTGCATAAGTCCTCAAAATTTCATTAAAATCCGACAATTATCTGATTTTTGCAAGAATTTCAAAATCAACGCATTTTTCACCAAAGAAAAAGAAACACTAAAATTTTCTATGCTAATTTACAGTCCATCCTGAAGACTGATATTGCATAAAAGTTCAATACTTTTTTCTTTGTTTCTCTTGCTTCAAGTCTCTTCTCCATCTGTGAGGAGATTGTCCAGCATTCACTGCCATATAGGAGGACTGATATTACATAACAGTTCAGTACACTTTTCTTTGGTTCTCTTGCTTCAAGTCTCTTCTTCATCTGTGAGGAGATTGTCCAGCATTCACTGCCATATAGGAGGACTGATATTACATAACAGTTCAGTACTCTTTTCTTTGTTTCTCTTGTGCCAAGTCTCTTCTTCATCTGTGAGGAGATTGTCCAGCATTCACTGCCATATAGGAGGACTGATATTACATAACAGTTCAGTACATTTTCTTTGTTTCTCTTGTGCCAAGTCTCTTCTTCATCTGTGAGGAGATTGTCCAGCATTCACTGCCATATAGGAAGACTGATATTACATAACAGTTCAGTACTCTTTTCTTTGTTGCTCTTGCTTCAAGTCTCTTCTTCATCTGTGAGGAGATTGTCCAGCATTCACTGCCATATAGGAGGACTGATATTACATAAGAGTTCAGTACTCTTTTCTTTGTTTCTCTTGTGCCAAGTCTCTTCTCCATCTGTGAGGAGATTGTCCAGCATTCACTGCCATATAGGAGGACTGATATTACATAACAGTTCAGTACTCTTTTCTTTGTTTCTCTTGCTTCAAGTCTCTTCATCATCTGTGAGGAGATTGTCCAGCATTCGCTGCCATATAGGAGGACTGATATTACATAACAGTTCAGTACTCTTTTCTTTGTTTCTGTTGCTTCAAGTCTCTTCTTCATATGTGAGGAGATTGTCCAGCATTCACTGCCATATAGGAGGACTGATATTACATAACAGTTCAGTACTCTTTTCTTTGTTTCTCTTGCTTCAAGTCTCTTCTTCATCTGTGAGGAGATTGTCCAGCATTCACTGCCATATAGGAGGACTGATATTACATAACAGTTCAGTACTCTTTTTCTTTGTTTCCTCTTGCTTCAAGTCTCTTCTTCATCTGTGAGGAGATTGTCCAGCATTCACTGCCATATAGGAGGACTGATATTACATAACAGTTCAGTACTCTTTTCTTTGTTTCTCTTGCTTCAAGTCTCTTCTTCATCTGTGAGGAGATTGTCCAGCATTCACTGCCATATAGGAGGACTGATATTACATAACAGTTCAGTACTCTTTTCTTTGTTTCTCTTGTTTCAAGTCTCTTCTTCATCTGTGAGGAGATTGTCCAGCATTCACTGCCATATAGGAGGACTGATATTACATAACAGTTCAGTACTCTTTTCTTTGTTTCTCTTGCTTCAAGTCTCTTCTTCATCTGTGAGGAGATTGTCCAGCATTCACTGCCATATAGGAGGACTGATATTACATAACAGTTCAGTACTCTTTTCTTTTGTTTCTCTTGCTTCAAGTCTCTTCTTCATCTGTGAGGAGATTGTCCAGCATTCACTGCCATATAGGAGGACTGATATTACATAACAGTTCAGTACTCTTTTCTTTGTTGCTCTTGCTTCAAGTCTCTTCTTCATCTGTGAGGAGATTGTCCAGCATTCACTGCCATATAGGAGGACTGATATTACATAACAGTTCAGTACTCTTTTCTTTGTTTCTCTTGCTTCAAGTCTCTTCTTCATCTGTGAGGAGATTGTCCAGCATTCACTGCCATATAGGAGGACTGATATTACATAA